ACCTACCCACCCACCCACCTACCCACCTACCCACCCACCATCCACTGAGTGTCTGTCTGAGCCACATTATCCTAGGGATCAGTGACTAACAGGACAGACAAGGAACCTGTGTTCACAAAGATCACATTCCACTTTCTTTATTCTTTCCTCTAAATCAAACAGCCAACTTATCAAAGTAAGGCCTGGTTGAGAAGGAGGATAGTCGGGGGTGGGGTGGTGTGGTGTCTAAGAAGGTCTGTTGGGGGATCTGGTTTTGTGATGGGTAGCCAAAATGCCATGCAAAGTGAGACCTTTTCTATTTCAGAATCTACCAGTTGCTCCAAGTAGTACACCGAGGGCAAGACAGCAAACAGATCTTGCAGAGTCATTAGTGGTAACGGTGGGTGGGGGAATGAGGTCTGGTGTGAGAGACCACAAGCTTCTGACTTTGAGCCCTCACATATAGTTTTCTAAACACACATGCAAAAAAATGAAAATATACCCCCAAACCATCCCGTAAACTGATGCTGCCCTGAATGCTAATGAGCTCCCCATCGCCGGAGGTGTGTGAAGAGATGCTGGGCAGCCACCTGTCAGAGAGGAATGCTGGAGAGAGAAAACAGCTCTGGGTGGGTGGTCCTGGCATTCCCTTCCAATATTAAGATTCACGGAATCTGGGGCAGCTGCATTCTCGTTACAGACACACACAGACACGGCAAACACACACCACTAACCCCTTCCTGGCCGCTGGCTCTAAGCCTGTTCCTTTTCCTCCTTTCGGCAGCACTGTCCCAGGCCCTGATGCACTGTGCCTGAGGGCACCTGTCTGGAGACAGCAGTTTGGCAGGAGCCGCAGGCAGAGAGGTCTGTGTGGCGCCGGCCCCTGCCCCGACAAAGTGCTGGGCTCTGTGGTGCCCCAGCCACCCGACTCCGTGGAGGGCCTCACCTGATGCCCACATGGAAGAGTCCTAGGGCAGGCCCCCTCCTCCAGCTATACTCTTCAGCCATAAGAGTTCAAGCTCGGAAGATGCAGAGACCTAGTATCACACTGGGTCCTCCAGCTGAGGGAGCCTGGGCAATTCACATCACTTCTCTAAGTCCCAGTTTCCACTTCTGTAAAATTGGGGTGGTGACAGCGTCAACCTCACTGGATTTTACTGGGTAATGCATGGCCCCTGATACCTAGCGAGTGCTCAGAAAAAGGTTGCAATGATTATCTCCTTG